AGTGACACATCTATGTCCTTGGGGAACATAAAACTACCAGTGCTCGCCGCAGGGGTTCCTAAGATTGTAGAATTTATTGTTTTCGACCGACCGGCCGCTTACAACATAATTCTCGGAACTCCGTGGATATACCAAATGAAGGCTATACCTTCAACTTATCATCAATGTGTGAAATTTCCGACTCCTGGTGGAATCGGAACCATTCGAGGAGATCAGGAAACGTCGCGATCTTACTACCTCATGGGACATCGTTTAAAGCTCAAATAGCAATTAATGATAAACACGAAGCAAGAGAGCACCTCGCGTTACCCAAGTGGTCTTAATTCGAGTGAAGTTACTACAGAAATTGAAATTGATTCCGAATTTCCAGATCGAAAAGTAAAAATCGGTACTACTTTGGATTCAGAAATCAAAGATCAATTGGTAACTTTTCTGAAAGAAAATAAACATACTTTGCCTGGTCGGCGAAAGATATGAATGGAATCGACAAAAGTATCATTACCCATGATTTAAACGTCGATCCCAGTTTTAAACCAATAAAGCAAAAAAGAAGAAAACTTGGTCCAGACCGAGCTCAAGCGGTCAATGACGAAGTTGATAAACTTTTGAAAATTGGTTCCATCAGGGAAGTGAAATACCCGGACTGGTTAGCAAACCCCGTGGTAGTCAAAAAGAAAAATGGAAAGTGGAGAGTATGTGTCGATTTCACCGACATTAACAAAGCTTGCCCAAAAGATAGCTTTCCTCTCCCACATATCGATCGGCTCGTTGAGTCAACAGCCGGAAACGAACTCTTGACATTCATGGATGCATTTTCTGGATATAATAGATCATGATGAATCCTGAAGACGAAGAAAAAACTTCCTTCATAACAGACAGAGGAATCTACTGTTACAAAGTTATGCCATTTGGTCTAAAAAATGCCGGTGCAACATACCAACGTTTAGTTAACAAAATATTTTCAGAACATTTGGGCAAAACGATGGAAGTTTATATTGATGATATGCTCGTGAAATCTCTTAAGAAATTTGAGCACATCACTCATCTTGAGCAGTGTTTCAAAATTTTGAATGATTTCAGAATGAAATTAAATACTGCTAAATGTTCTTTTGGTGTGCCTTCCGGAGAATTCCTAGGCTATATAGTCACGAAAAGAGGGATAGAAGCTAATCATAATCAGATTAACGCCTTCCTCACAATGCCTTCACCAAAAAACATCAAGGAGGTCCAACGATTGACGGACAGAATTGCTGCGCTGAATCGTTTCATCTCGAAATCCACCGATAAATGTCTCCCTTTTTATCAGATTTTAAAAGGAAACAAAAAATTTCGGTGGGATGATCAATGCCAAGCGGCTTTCGATCAACTCAAAACTTATTTGACAACACCGCCGGTTCTCTCAAAACCTGAATCGGATGAAAAACTTTACCTTTACATCTCGGTTTCTAATCATTTTGTAAGTGGAGTTTTAGTTCGAGAGGATCGAGGTGATCAAAAGCCGATTTTTTACATAAGCAAATCTCTTACCAGTCCGGAAACGAGATATACCATGATGGAGAAATTAGCTTTAGCAGTGGTCGTATCCGCTAGGAAGCTCAGGCCTTATTTCCAATCTCATCCTATAGAAGTACTAACTTCCCATCCGCTTCGCTCAATTCTTCACGGGCCAAGTCAGTCCGGTAGGTTAGCGAAATGGGCAATCGAACTCAGTGAGTACGATATAGAATACAAAAGTCGAACTAGCGAAAAAGCACAAGTTCTGGCTGATTTTCTAACCGAACTGCCACTAGATGATGGAATCCCTATTAAGACAGACTCTACATGGAAATTACATGTAGATGGATCTTCTTCTAAACAAGGATCCGGAATCGGCATTAGGCTCGAAACTCCGACAAAGAAAATAATCGAGCAATCATTTCGATTAATGTTTCCAGCTTCGAACAACGAAGCGGAATACGAAGCTCTTTTAGCGGGACTTTGGCTTGCTCTTGCGATTGGAGCAGAAAAAATAATAGCTTATTGTGATTCTCAGCTAGTTGTAAACCAGTTCGCTGGAGATTACGAAGCTAAGGCTCCTCGAATGGAAGCTTATCTTTCGGCTGTCAAAAAATTAGCCGGAAAATTCAAAGAATTCGAATTAGTTCGAATACCTAGAGGAGAAAACACTTCGGCAGACGCTTTAGCTGCCCTAGCTTCTACCTCAGACCCTGAACTCAAACGAGTTATCCCAGTTGAATGTATTTCTTCGCGAAGTATTTCGATTGAAGAAACAGAAAACGATAACATTTTGGAGGCCGAATACATCGAAACTCCAAAACCAAGTGAGAATGGTTCACTTGTCATCACCAGGTCACGAATAAAGTCTCAAGATGACGAACTTAATCCACCATTGGAACTTCCTAAAAGAAAGTCAAGAAGAAAATTAAAGGATCAAGAGGTTCCCATTAAAGAACCGTCTCGAACCGAACAGTCACTTCCAGGTGATGTAGAGGTTCAGGAGACAATCGAAGATCCTGATATTCCTTCTGAACCCGAACCAAGGAAGTTTATACTCAAGGATAATACTTCCGCTAATGATTGGGGGGCTGACCGGAGGGTACCCATCAAAAATTTCATTCTTAATGGAGAACTACCATCTAACAAATGGCAAGCTCGCAAATTAAAAATCATCAACGTTAAGTATTGTATAATTAAAGAGTCATTGTATAAGCGAGGCGTCAGTGATCCTTATCTTTTATGTATTTTCGGACCCGAAGTTGAAATAGTGACAAGCGAGGTCCACGAAGGGCTTTGTGGTAGTCATTCTTCGGGACGAGCAATGGCTTTCAAAATCAAACGGTTAGGATATTTCTGGCCAACTATGATTTCAGACTGCATTGATTACGCCAAACGGTGTAAAAAGTGTCAGATGCAAGCTCCTCTTATTCACCAGCCATCTGAAATTCTATCACATATATCCGCTCCATACCCTTTCATGAGGTGGTCAATGGATATAGTCGGTCTGATGCATCGTTCAACACGAGGAGTCCAATACTTATTAGTTCTAACGGATTATTTTTCCAAATGGATTGAAGCTGAAGCTTATATAAGCATACAAGATTCCGTAGTAAAGACATTCTTGTGGAAACACATTATTTGTCGTTATGGAGTTCCTTACGAAATAGTAACGGACAATGGTCCTCAATTCATTTCAAATGATTTTGAAGATTTTTGTTCCGCTTGGGGAATAAAACTTAGCTACTCAACGCCGAGGTATCCTCAAGGAAATGGACAAGCGGAAGCCTCCTATAAAACCATTCTCAGCAATCTTAAAAAACGCTTGAGTGCTCGAAAAGGTGGATGGTATGACGAGCTGCAACCTGTGTTGTGGGCTTATCGAACAATCCCAAGGCGAGCAACGGGTGAAACTCCATTCTCATTAATTTATGGGATGGAAGCCGTAGTCCCAGCCGAGCTGAATGTTCCAGGTTTGCGCCGAAGCGAAGCTCCACTTAACGAGGAATCGAATTCTAAATTATTAGAAGACGTTCTCGATACAATCGATGAAAGGCGAGACCAATCCCTTATTCGACTTCAGAATTATCAACAGTTGACCGCTCGATACTATAACTCAAAGTTGAAAAACAGACCTTTAAATGTAGGAGACTTTGTTTTAAGGCGAGTGTTCGATAACACAAAAGAAGAAGGAGCTGGAAAACTCGGTATTAACTGGGAAGGCCCTTATCAAATCACTGAAAAAATCCAAAACGGTGTATACCGTTTACAAGACCTTGGTGGAATCCCGATCAAAGGCCTTGGAACATAATCAACTTGAAAAAGTTCTATTGCTAAAGCAAACACATTCGAACTACGATTTGGCTTGATCCTATTCTGGGTACGTAGGCAGCTCGCTAAACACGAGTCCAGCTATAATATAAAAATAAAAATATTATTCCAGTCATGGAATTTTTGTTTTTATGAATTTGATATTCGAGCATAAATATAAAGATACGTTGCGAACAATGTATAAATAAATATTTCTTGCTAAGCTAAGACCGGATCTAGAAGGGTCTTGAATTACGGAATAGCTCTGCTCCTTGACCTGCGAGGTCAACGATGCTAATAATACAACCTGGCATGTTTTCGTACTCCTGAAGTCCTACTTCGATCCAATCGGAAGGATGGGCTTCGAGGCGATGAAGCTCGCGAGAAATATCGAGGCGACGCTTCTCTAGCTCCATTATCCGTTTCCTAATCTTTTTCTTCTCATCTTCGAGCTCGTCGTGCCGAATGATAAGCTGGAAAAAATAAAACGCTTCGTTAAGCAATAACAAAAAGAAGTTAAATCACTAGGATGGAAAATACCTTGGTGATAAACTCCTCGGCCTTAACACGATCTTGGGCTGACAATCTCTCGATTAATACGATCGGAACCTGAATGCTGGTTCCCTTCCTCAATATTCGTGACCCTTCCGTTTTGCCAGTTCTTCCCGTTTTTGTAAGCTCGATGTCTGGTGCTCCCGGAAGGTCGTCACTTATCAATCTGGATGAGTCAGAAGTTTTCTCTGAAGAATTTTCCTCTTCAGACATTCTTGTAGAATTGTTGTTGAAATTCAATGACAGACTACACCCACTTTATACTCGAAAATTTATTCGATTGCATTTAAGAGGATTAATTGACGATTCCCCAAATCTGAAATTACGACTTTCATGGAAAATGTAATCGAGTTAATTGCTAATTATATTCCCTAGATTAAACGCATTAAATGAGATTTGAATAAATCGGCAAATTTAAAGCAAAAGGAGGAATATAATTAATGTTGCTGGGTTTCAAGTCCAGTGACATTTTACAAACATAAAACGGAAAGTGTTTGATTAAAAGTCTTCGCCCGATAATGACTCCAGCGAGGTGGAAGATCCCGAACAGCTTTCTGAGGATAGTCCCTCGTCATAAGATAAATCAAAAGGGCCGGGGAAGTCATCAACAATTTTCATCTCCGGTTCCTCTTTTTCTTCAGTTCTTAACATCGGAAGTCTCCGAAACTCTGAGGAACATGAAACAAAAGAGGACCCATCGCTGGTCGCCAAGGATAAACGATGAAATTTATCCAGCATGCGGAGAATCTTCGGAGGCAAGTAGGCATTATGGCCACAATGTCTAGACCATTCCTCTCCCATTCGTGCGGTTCAGATTCCAGGCGAAGGATCTCTCGTTCCATCCTCTTTATGCGCTCATCAAGAGCACGGCGCCTCCTTCCGATTCTTTGTCTCTTATCACATAAAGCTTTGTGTCTCCCGACAATCTGTTTGAACAAACATTTTGTCAAATGACCAAAAAAAAGGAAGTTATAGTTTTCTGAGAAGACTAAGAGTTAGAAAAGGAACCTTTTCCAGGAAGTCATAACATTTAACCATTTTCTTCCCTGTTCGGAAATGAAAAAACGTTGGGTGAATAACTCCCTATGGAGAGAATCCGTCTTCGGACTCAAACAGTGGGTTCCCACTTGAAGTTGTTATTCTTGAGCATGATCTGAAAGAAGACAGCGGCATTTTTCAAGCTTTTTCTTATAATGAACTATGGTGATCTTTCGGAATTCCTTTTGAAGGAGAAAGAGGTTCAGATTTCTAAAAATATTTATATATTGTTGGCCTGTTAGAGCAGGCTTCAGATCCAATTAAAACGCGGCCCAGCGATTCCGAAGCCATCATGGGCAACGATCAAAACCATTACCTGGTCATATTTATGACAAAATTCTCATGAATTATAAATCTTATCCCTCGATATAAAAAAAAACTTAAGCCGAGCTCCATCCTCGCCTTCGAGAGACCGAGGAAAAATACTTATTAAGATTTTTTCTTTAAAAAAGGCAAGTGAGCCTGATCAGCTCATCTCTCACAATTCATAAAACCTCTTTGGCGGGCTAGGACTTGCAAACCTAGAATCATGTCTAAACATTTTGTTTAAAATAATCATCATATGCCAGAGCATGTACATGGTTGTGTTCAATCACACTAATTGAACAAAATATTTCCGTCAAACGGAATAATCCTCATGTGGCCGAGAACCTTCACCTACCTCGAATTGAGATGGGGAATCTCCAAATACCAAAGAAAATTGTTTCAGATCGAGAGTAGGGTGGGAAGCCGAGGATAACTCGGATTCAACCATAGCGAGTTCGGCAGGAACTTCGCTCCTCTCGTTCTCGAACGAAACTCTTCCAGCCTCTAGTTCCTTAATCAGGTCTAGATTGCTCTTCAGTTCGGCTCGATATGTTAGAAGTTTCGTCCAGACCTCTTCGTCCTTGATGAACTTCGTAACAGATTGAATAAGTTGCCTACCGAATCCCCTCATCTCTTCTCGAGCATTATGTTCGGCTTCAGCGATATCGCGAGCCCTGTTCCTAGTTAAAAGCTCGATCTCTTGATTTGCTTCTTCGAACAAAGCCGTATTCTCCTCTAGCTCAGCCTCCAAGCGAAGAGCATTAGACCTCGCAGAATCTCTTTCAGCATTCGCAATTCTGATGCGTTGCTCGTTAGCTGCTAGAGTTTTCTTCATATTTTCAAAAGATGACTCGAGTGCTTTTACCCGCTCAAGTCGCTCAGATTGGTTGGCTAATCTAAGTTCATCAACCTCCTTCTTAGCCTTTGCGGTCTCTCTCTTCGCTTGATGAAGAAGGTTCTCATAATGGAAGATCATTCCATTAGTCTCCATAAACGCCTTCGGAGTAAAAAAAAAACGTGTCGTTTAGACAAAAAGCTTTTACCTAAGTAAGGGAGGTTGTCATAATCTAAAAGATCCGAACCTGGGATATGTAGCAAGCTTGATTGGCGAACATCTGACGGATTTCCGGCCTCCAAACCGAAAAAGGAGGAAGGGACGCCCCTTTCCTGGTTTGGAAACTTCGGAAGATGTCTCTAATCTCTTCTCCGCCTGCGAAGCAGAGGAGAATAGCAGATTAATAAAATAGATGCAATCTGTAGCAAGTTTTGCTAATGCTCGATTTCTAAGTAAAAACTTACCTGAAATCGAAGCGGGTAAAGGATTTTGAGTCCTAACACTCAGTCCTTGAGATAGGGGAGCCTCCGGTCTCGGCTCATCTATTTCCTCTAAAATTACTCTGTCTCCCGGAAGAGGGAGCTCGGAGTTTAAAGGTTCTGAAGAGGGAAAAACAGAACGTAGAGGGCTAGATACTCGTGGCGGAGAACTTAATCTCACGGTTTTAAGTCTCTCGTTTGATAGATTATCGGAATCTGGAGCCTTCCTCTTTGTACAAGGAGAGGAGGTTATTTCTCCCTCACGCCCTGGTTCGGAAGGGTAAATTGCGGTCGCAACTGGAGGGTCGTTAAGGATCTCGGCTCCATGAGTATCCACCGCGGCTGACAAGGCTGCTTCTAATGAACCGTCATCAACCAAGAGGGTCTTCCTGTGGAAGTTATCAACCCTGGAGATTGCAGCTATCCGTTTCTTTCTCCCGATTTCGGATAGCTGATCCTTAAGAGCCTTGATTTCAGCCTGCATCTTTCTTTTATCTCGAGCATTCAGGCTCGAAACGTCTTTCTCCTCGGGAGGAGGATCGAGGGGGTGAGTCTGACCGTCTTTAATGGCGAGCCCCGCTTTATGAATGCGTTGAAGGGTGAAAGAATTCCAATTTGTTTCACCCTCGGAAACGATTCGAAAGAAGGACAAGAAGTCAACGGTTGGACGGAAGATCGTCTGGTTCCCTGAAACAAAGTATCGGGTTAAGAATTCTATCTCTTTTACATAATACAATGGAAAGTAATAAAGGTTGGATTTTTAACCAAGTTTAGCCGACCAATTGGCGAGAAGAAGACCGGAAAGACCTTGAACGGAATGGGGATTGACTCGGAAAAAGAACCAGTATTTCCTCCAAGGCCCATCATTCGAGGGCATTCCGTCGATCAGGTTACGGTCAAGGATAGGGTTTATAGAAAAAATACCCGCTGCTGCGGATTCACGGGCTCGAAATAGCCCTAAGAGTTCGCTGGTGGAGAGGGAAAACCCTGCTTCTGCCGAAATAGTCAGGGTGCTCAGAACGTATCAAAGAAAGTTGGGAGCCATTTGGGGAAAGGCAATCCCTAGGTGGAGGAGGTATAAAAGAATAACTTCCGGTACTGGAAAAAACAAACCACAACCTTTGAAATAGACTTCGTATGCACAACAGTAACCCTCTCGCACCACTTTCGGACACTCGTTGGGTCTAGGAAGAGAGAATTTAATTTCCTGGGGGATGTTAAAAAGGCGGCGAAGAGCGCCAAGGGAAGCAGAGGTCGACTGAGACCTGAAATGCGGACCAAATTTGTCTCCCCTTTGGGTGAAGACTTCGTCCCCTCTGGGAACAGGGATTCCTTGACTGTCATCTTCGTTTTCCGAAACATAGATGGTTGGGGAAGACATCTTTTACTAAGAGGTTTCTCTTTTTCTGGTTTGGTAAAAGCTTTTAGAGGTAAATGTACGCTACTGTAAAAGCCGTCGTTCCATTTAACCTTATTTAGCAGAAAACCGCCTCGAGAATATTGGGAAGTGGGACAGTTTTCCCCGTGGTATTAATATAAAATTAAGAAATTAATGATGACGGTTGTCAGGGAAATCAAATCATCTGATTATCCGAGATCAGCGTAACAACGTAAAACATGGAGAAATTCCAGAATGTTAAAGATCTCGAGTCATTAATTACTGTTTACTTAAGTCTTCCAAGCCGAGCATTCAGCTCGCAAGACTTGGGGGGCTAAATGTTGGGGTCGGATCCCACACATCTTCGGTAGGATCCACTTGGATCTGTCCACGTCATTATTACATAATAATCCTCTTGGATTTCTAGATACTTTATTGGACTTAACCAGTTGGGAGTTCGATTCAGTGTACCAAAAGAGCTCGATCTTTACCAGTACGGAGTTCGCTCTTATTCAACATACAGTTCGCATAAAAGAAGGCCGAAGCGAGGAGAATATTGTTCGAGGTTCGCGGCAGCGTCAAGACGCAGGAGTTCGGAGTCAACAAGAAAGAGTTCGGAAGATCTACGCGAAGCCCAAGATAGTTCAAATTCAAGCCGTTTCGGTCAAATTGTAACCTACATGATTAATGCGGATCAATGCGATTATGAGCAATAAATGACCGCATTGATCATGTTTTCTCTATAAAAACAACCTCAAACGCATGTGTTTGAGGAGAAAAGAACAACCTTTTATCTCTTACTATCAAGCAATACAACATACTCTTTCTTTTACAATTTCGCAAGGCTTTTTACTATTTTATTCTTGCCAAACTCTTTTGCTTTATTTAGTTTCTTGGTTACTTTCCTTTTCAAATCCTTATTTTCATTTCTTGATTTTAGAGTTTTTCTCCACAAAAATACTTAAAGACAATCGAGTGTGAATCCTACATCCACACTCGTAAACGTTGAGCCGGCCCTGCCGGCCGGCAAATGATCATGTCTCAATGTAAGCTAACTAATGACTTTCCATTGTCAGAAAACTCTCTAGCTATGAATATTGATCCAATTCATTGTATTTTCTTGTGAAACGCAAAGAATACTAAAGATGAAACATAAAAATGTATGCTACTCAAATTGCGTAAAATAAATGTAAGATACAGTAAGTTTTAGACTAAGTAAAAAAAATCAACAAAAGGAGAAAAGAAAACAATAAGAGTGGGTGATTCAATCAGTTTTTGAGTTTTTTCGTAAGATGTATAATTATATCTAGGTTTCCAACTAAATTTGTAATTAAAAAGAAAATGACTTCAAAAAGTATGTAAGATTATAAAAAAAGAACCAATTTGATGTAATCATTACATGATGAAACAGCCGAACTCACTCTAATTGCTAACCAATAATTGCATATTAACTAGTTAAAATGCTGTCTATACTTTTATCCTACGACTTAAATTTATTTTCTAAGATATCTAATATTACAAAAAGGATTGGTTTGGGGAATTCCAGCAAAAAAAGACCTCTTATGTTTTTATTAAACGTAAAAGAAGAGAAAATGCTTTCAAAAGTTGAAAGCTGATTATGGGCTATACCGTAGCTCAAATCATTTTAATTATATCCACAATAAAAAAAATGATTAAAGATGAGGTCCATTGGCTCATAAGAGTTTTCTTATGAATATTTGAATTATAAATGTTTACGAATCATTTCCTCACTTAAAAGGGACCCACCACCACCATTAGTTCCTTCTAATTTCATACGACTCTATTAGTGTCCACTGCTTACCAAACATTAAATCATAAACTAAAATTATGTTTTCCAATGGCCAAGAATGGATGAAATAATGGTTGGGCCATAGAAATAATATATACTACCTCTTCTACATTAACAAAGACAACATATTACTAGGATCGAGTTCAATTTGATGGATGATGGAACAATGAAAAATACCAAGAATTGTGTGTTTTAAATGGGATTTGATGATTCACAACAAAATATCTAGAATATAGAAAGATAGTGTGCTTGCGTGATTTTTAATTTTTTTTTTTTGGAGACGATTTACAAAACCACACCCTTTAATATTTCAAAATCTGCTTAGTGGTACATGGGATGGAAATTTTGTAAAGGTACAAAATTTTACTCTTATTATAACACTAGCATTTTTATTGATATATTTTTTTTTCTTATCATATATTTTATTTATCTTTTAACTCTGATTTATAGGGATATCTCTATCATAATATTCATTGTTTTATACAAGTCTAGATTTAGTAGATACTAATCAAGATTTAGCGGAGTTCTTGAAATACTAAAGTTATGGCTAAAATTCTAAATTGAGTGGTTGGACCTCAGTTTAAAATGGTCCAATTTTAGATATTGTGCCTCCGATTTATAAATAAATAGAAGTGTCCTACGGTTTTATATGAAAAATTTACATATCATATGGTCTCATAATGTTGTGTAGGGTCCCAACAAAGTGACGCCAACTAATAATCATTTAATCAATTTATACCAAAAATCAATAAAATTACCAAACATGCTTTATCAAGCAAGACTCAAACAGTACCCGGAACTATCCGTTCAGACAGAAACCTCTAATTGCTCTCTGTTTCAATTTTTCAGAGATTTTGATCTATTGAAAATTGAACAAAGGAGATGATATGGGAAACAACAACGCCACTGCCATTTTAACAGGTAAACCAACAATAGTCTTTTGTTTTGTTATATTGTATTTTTTTTGTTCTCACTGAATATATGTCTGTGTAATTGCAGATCAAGAAGAGAGGTCAAAGCTAGAAATCAATGGAGTGTCTCCATTGGCCTCTTCCGTAGATACCACGCAAGAGCAGGTGTTTTTTGCTGGTGAAGGTAAAGATGGAGATGAAGAGAAAGAGAGCTCAAAGCTAGAAACCGATGGAAACATTCCACTGGATTACGTTTCTTTAGAGACCGTGCAAGATCAAGTGTTTCTTGCAGGTGAAGAAAAAGATGGAGATGAAGAGAATGAGAGCTCAAAGCTAGAAACCAATGGGATGTCTCCATTCGACTCTGTTTCTTTAGAGACCGCGCAAGATCAAGTGTTTCTTTCAGGTGAAGAAAAATATGGAGATGAAGAGAGTAAGAGTTCAAAGCTAGAAACCAATGGAATGTCTTCATTGGAGTCTGTTTCCGTAGAGATCACGCAAAAGCAGGGGTTTCTTGCGGGTGAAGAAAAAGATGGAGATCAAGAGAAAGAGAGCTCAAAGTTAGAAACCAATGGAATGTCTCCATTGGAGACTGTTTCCGTAGAGATCACGCAAAAGCAGGTGTTTCTTGCGGGTGAAGAAAAAGATGGAGATCAAGAGAAGGAAAGCTCAAAGCTAGAAACCAATGGAATGTCTCCGTTGGACTCAATATCCGTAAAGACCAGGCAAGATCAGTTGTTTCTTGCGGTTGAAGAAAAAGATGGAGATAAAGAGAAAGAGAGCTCAAAGCTAGAAACCAATGGAATGTCTCCATTAGACTCTATTTCCGTAGAGACCACACAAGATCAGTTGTTTCTCGCAGGTGAAGGAAAAGAAGGAGATGAAGAGAAAGAGAGTTTGTCTAATGGTGTTGAAGAAACAGAACAACATAGCAAGGAATTTGTTGATGAATCGAAAGTAAAAAAATTCAAAGAAGAGATGGACCAGAGTGGCTTGGAGAGCTTGGTAATGGAAACAGCTGAGAAGCTTCAAAAACAGACATCAGTTGCGAAAGGTTGATCTTAATTTTTCTATCTTCTCTTCATATTTGAAAGTAAACCTAATGCAATCCTGTCTCTTTATTCATTATCAGGTGTTGAAACTTTGAGTGAAGCAAGAGAAGTGGAAGAGTTGTCTATGAAGGGAACTCAAAGTGTTGTGAGCAAACTGAATTGGACAGAGTCTGGTAATGAAGAGAAGCTCTGTGCGATTCATGAGATTGTCTTTGAATCTCCAAGCTCTCTTGGAACTGTTGGAACTGAAGAAAACATGGTGAATGAGTCTTTGGACGAAATTTTTCATTCAGAGGAAGTTGTAAAGCTTGATCAAGAGACTGGTATGGAACAGAGAACAGGAAGGGAAGGGATTCCTGAAATCGAGCCACAGGAGATTCTGAATCTGGACTATCGCGTTGTTCATGATGAAGAAGTTACAGATGAAGGAAAAGTCGGTAAGGCAATCTCTAACTCTAAACCTGGTTTGCAAGAGTCAGATGCCATTCAAGAGGCCGGTCTTGGAGTTTATAAAGCAGAGAAGGACAAAAGAGAAGCGAGTCTGAAACGCATGTATCGGTGCAGATCGCTCCCAGTGAGCCAGAATAGTAGAGTTATTGGAGATTCGCTGGTTCAACAGTTGGTTTCAGAGGTTGCGTTTACTTCAAGAAACAAGATGGGTCTAAAGAAAGCTAACACGTCTGAGGCTCTACTTGTTCCTTGCGTAGGAAGCAACAAAGCGCAAGAAACTATTGAAGCGATAACTGAAAGCAATAAAGAAGCTAGGCTCGAGATGCGAGCTCCTAGCTTTGGTCATGACCTAAGAATCGAAGAAAGAAGTGATGAATCGACTGAGAATACTCCGCTACTCTGTGAGGACAAGACTGAGATATACGAGGCAACAATCGATGTGGAAGAGAAAACTGTGATGCTGAAGAGAAGTGAGTCTGTGAAATCAAGAGGCAGCGAGAGGTCTCTAGGATCGTTGAAGAAACACAATGATAGCTTCAAAGAAACCAAGGGCTCAGAAGATAACCTGGTGGACAAGAAAGCTTCGCCGGATTCTATGAAAGGCATAGTCAAAAAACGAAGTAAATCTTCGCTTTTGGGAACATGCCTTTGTTGCACCACCGCAATGAATTGAACTAATTATTTTGTGACTTTATGGTTTTTTTTTTCCTTATTTTTATGATTGTTTTGATAAATTGGGAGGAAACAAATGAAAGTGTGGATTGGGTTTTCTGTATACTTGAGATGGGGTTTTCTGTTTGAGGGATTTTGGTAAAAGTTTGGAAAAGTTTTACTGTCTCTAAGCTTTATTTTTATTATTTTCTTACTAAATAATAGTTATTATATGGGCATGGCTTTCTCACAGTCTCTCCATTTTTATTTATATAAACAAGTATCACTTCTATTATTCTTTACATAAAATTACATTGCCGAGAAGCGTCTAGAGTCTAGACTAGTGATTTAGCCATTAGATCTTCTCGTTTGACATAAGAAGTTCGACTCCTCACTTTCATGGGGAACATAAGATATATCGAAATACTTTAGTATTCACATATATCAATCCGCGAGAACATTACGTTTCTTATTCATTCGCTAAATATAATTCCAAAATCATACTGCTATAATTCAAAGATTGCGAGAAGAAGAAAAAAATCATATAGAAAAAACAAGCTGTAATATAGAAAAAAAAACACCTTTAATTAGAGTTCCAAAATCATATAGAAAAAGCTATAATATAGAGATTAGATTGGATCTGACAGCTACATAAGAGATAAAACAAGACTGGATCTGAAAATTTCAATGAATGTAGAATAATGGAATTTGTTGAGATGGTGTGAACACAAAGTAGTAACAACTAATGGTAATTAAGGATCATTGGCTTATATAATAAATAGAATAAAAATAAAAAGCAATCAGCCAATGTTGATCATCATCTTGACAAATTCATCATAATTGACTTGGCCATCACCATCCAAATCTGCCTCCTTTATCATTTGTTCAACTTCTTCATCTGTTAGCTTTTCCCCTAGATTTATCATTACATGACTTAACTGCAATAACAAAAGTCTTTCACTTTAATAAATAAATTAACATAATAGTTAGTCTAATTAGTGTAAATTAAATTGTGCATGTTAATAATCAGACGTGTCTGGCCATGTACAGAGAATAATAGTATATATTTTCATTTAAATCAGCAATAGTTGGTCAAACCTAACTTAAAATTTTCTGATTTATTTACAAAAATTATGAAAAAACCTAGTATATTATAGGCCTCGGCATTCGGTTATCGGATCGGATTCGGATCGGTTTTTTCGGATTTCGGTTTTTTTATATAGATTCTAATATCTATACGGATAATTATATAATTCGGATCGGTTTCGGTTCGGATATTTCGGATTTCGGATCGGTATGGATATGATATTTAATATCCGATTTAACCAAAAAATCTAAAAATAATCCGAACAATCCGAAAAAAAATTGAAGTGACTAGTTGAACTAACATGAAACCATAGCAAATCCGAAAACTGCAAAACAAAATTGAAGTGACTAGTTGAACTAACATGAAACCATAGCAAACCATAGAGTTTTGAAACCAATGTGAGACATAAAAATACATCAAAGTTTTAAAACGGTAAACCATAACATCTTAAAGAGTAAAGAAGTAAGAAAATCAAGATTAGGGAAGTGGATCCCGTATTACTAGAGAAATCGAAATCAGGGAAGTTGATCTCGTATTGCTAGGGACTAGGGTTCTAGAGGAGAGTTCGGATGTGTTCGGATACCCATCGAATATCGGATCGGATCGGGTATTATCCGAGATCCGATGGATGTAAAAATCAATAACCGATCGGTTATTCTCTCGGATGCGGTTCGGATTTTAATCCGATTTTTTCGGTTCGGATTTTTGGTTTCGGATTAAAACGGCCCGGCCTAGTATATATATATTTTTTAAAGTTGTAAACAAAATACAGCTGGTTTTAGCCTAAGTTTGACCAATCGATATAGAAAACCCCAAACCTTCTGCCCATATATAATGCTATTAATAAATTGAATTATGTTGCATGCAAAAATCTCCTTATATAAACGGTGTATGCATTAATGTAACTTTTGAGGATGTAAAGAAAGGTATATATATTTATTTAGTTAAACTAGGTGAAACATGTGCCCTCCTGTCAAATAAACCAATAGAATCAAACGCATTTTACTCTATCTAACTACTTTCTAAGTATTAATTGTTTTTCTTTGTGTTCCTCCTCGTTCTTCTCTAAAGATTCAGAATGCCAGCTAGCTCTAAGCCTTCACGATGGAAAACAGACTTTCGAAAAGATAAAACCAAATAAATAAATGGCATGTCTTGTTAAAAAAAATGTTTAAAATTGTTAGAACATAAATGAGACAACAACTATGGATCTCTTTAAATTGGAAGATCGTCTGGCTTTGTTGTCTGATATTTGTCATTGATTCTAAATATGTGAAAGTGTGATTTAGCTGGATTTCTCGTTTTTCTAGTCAATGCAGAATTAATTGGTCCAAGTGGTTTCATAAAAATACTACGCTCATAATTATTGTGCTTAGCCTGGATTTGACACTTTAGAGATATAGAGCATGTACCACTTAAGAAGAGAAGACATTTATGAAATTGGTTCATGTACCTTAACTAAATTCGACAATAACCAAATTTAGATAAGGATTTTTAGTAGACACAAAAATCTATTCAGTTATGGCTCTAATCATTTATAAACATATAAAAACAGAGTTAGACCGTACATGGTATTATTGGTGAACGTTGTACAAACGCAATCCAGTGCATTGAACTAATTTGTTTTTATAAGTTCTTAAAAAGGATTTTCCGCATAAGTTCTTGAATAAGTCAAGCATATATCTTTCTAACTATTTATATATACATACACATATATCAAAATTAAAAAATAACGAGAGAGCGAGAGAGAGAGAGAGAGAATTGAAAGAGAGTCACGAACCTCACTGGCAGAGATATAACCATTTTGGTCTTTGTCGAAGACTTTGAATGCTTCTTTCAGCTCTTCCTCAGCATCACTTTCCTATACCATCACATGATCATGACAACAATTAACATACAAAACTATTGTTAATTAAAGTCTTTATTTAGAATATATACACATATGTATCTTCACAAATCAGATTTGTTCGTAGAGAACAACATAAAGCATAAAAAGCATGGAAAGACGGACATTTTGTTTTAAGAACCTAAGAAGCATAATGAATGAAACAGCTCCATTTTGATGACGAATCTGTTAGGATCCCATATCAAAAGTTACAAGGGACCTAACGTAATATAAAAGAAACCATATACTAACCAAAAAAAAAAACTATATAGACAAATCCTTTACTTGATGTAACTTTTTTGTTTGTTTGTGGCAACGTTAGCTCTAATAGTGAAAAAATAAGCATAAGAGATCAAGAGAAGAGGAACCTGAAGTTTTTTGGCCATGAGGTTGAGAAACTCAGCAAATTCAATGGTGCCGTTGCTATCAGAATCGATCTCAGTGATGATATCTTGAAGTTCTTGTTCTGTCGGATTCTGATCCAACGAACGGATCACTGTTGCAAGTTCTTCCACCGTTATACAACCTATTAATGGATTCCAGAACAACGATAAATAAATGTTCATAAAACATATATTAGTCGTCTTTGTTATATATATATATTCTATGACCATCTAGAGAAAGAGAGAGAGAGAGAGAGAACCGTCGCCGTCTTTGTCGAAGAGACAAAAGGCTTCTTTGAACTCAGTGATCTGATCTTTTGTCAGTGCTGTCTCTTGACTATCTTCCATTGTTTTCTGAGGATTTTGTTTGGAGAGAAAGAGAGAGAAGAGAGGGAGCTCAAGGTTTGAAGTGCTTAAATCTCTGGTTTAGGGTCTTTTTGTAGAGTCGTGACAAGGCCTTATGTACTTTTCAAGTACTTTAAGCCCTTTAGTGGATTCTCAAGTTGTTTTAAATTGAAAGGGCAGTACTATTTTTAATTTCAATTTTTTTCTAGAACTCTTGAATTGAACAATTTAATTCTAGTCACATGACTAAATCGCATATAATAAATTAATAATTGTCGCTGTTTGTTAAAGTTCAAATCACTTATGCAAAATTAATTTTGAAAAATCATCTTCGTTTAACAATCCGTTGTTTAGTCAATCACCTATGCTTCAGCGTAAACAGTGAAAATCATCCGAAAACTTTAAATCGCCTGATGATAAGGAGAGACGGCTATAAAAATACATAGAAAGAAAATTACTAAAACAAACAAGCATAAGTCTAAAATATGCTTGATAAAACGTCCCTTATTTTTTCTGTGTTCAAACCCATTAACCACTCATTTTGTACTCAACAATCCTTTTCTTTTATTTTTTTTCTGATTTCAAAATCAGTGATCACTTCTTTAATACTCTTAAAACAATATTGAAATTTGTCTACACAATTCAACACCTCATTGGCCATCTTACCCGCTCGAACCAGGAGATTCTCCTTACCAAGTGAACATCTGCCATGCTTGTGTCCACAGAAGACATATTAATTACACAGCAACTCGACTGTCCATAGGGGTTGAAGCATCACGACTATGAAGCTTAACTTGGCCAGCATGATCTTGTAAAATCCGTGCATTATATTCCCACACAATGATTCAAAGTCTATTCACAATTAATGATTAAATAACTACTTGATGAATCATTCCATTTTCAAAATTGTTCCGATTAACCAAGTCGCCTTGGTCCAGTGGTAAAGAAGAGAAAAGTTTTCCGCCACCTGGGTTCGAGTAGCATTGACCACCGGGGTTCGAATTTTAACATGGTTTTCCCGGGCCCTATGATTAGTCTTTGGACCTAGAAAGTCTATAGACCTGAGTTATCAAAAAAAAAATGTTCCAATCTACAACATTTTTTGGAATTTACGGGGTAGTTATGAGAATATTACAGATTCATTTGAATCACACATTCACACCATTTTATTCCTTTTCCTATACTTTTTGTTCGAATAAATGTAACTATTTCTATAAATCAGATAAAAATATTTTCCACGTCACATACCATAATTAATAAGAATATCTACTGCTAAAAGATTGTAATCAGAATATCTATTGCTAAGAAAGATTTTAGGAGAGACTTGCATTGAATCTGCAATTGGTATCCGAACAGTACGGAAAATGCATGTATATGCTACGTTGAATTGACCCTATCGTCTGCATTATACGATCACAAGCACGAT